TGTTTTTAAAAAAAATTAAATGAAAAAGAATTTTTTTTTTTAGGACAAGACAAAAGTAACCGTACTTCTATACACCAATTCAACTGGCTCTGATAAATTATGCCCACTAGTAATTGGAACTTCTAAAAAGCTACGATCATTTAATGGGATAAATATATTACAACTACCAGTAATATATAAAAATAATAAAAAAGCATGGATAAGGACCGATATTTGAAAACAATGGTTGAAATTTATTGACAATAGATTCCGCATTGAAGGTAGGCAGGTCTTACATTTGGTTGATAATGCAGCTTCACATGTCCTCGGAAGCAAGTAATACGGCCTCAGAAACAAGTAATATGATCGAAGTCCAAGACACAACTGAAGAATCGATATCGGAATATGACTCTTCAGAAGAAATTGAGGAACTTCAAGAGCAGCCCCAGGAAAGGCCACAAGGAAGGCCACAAGGAAGTCTACAAGGAAGACCATGAGGAAGTCTACAAGAAAGATCCCAAAGACCTAATCATACCAGTTCTGGCTGATCGAGATAGATTTCAAGTACTCTTCGCCTTACCAATGTCACTGTACAATTTCTTCCACCAAATACCACCGCCCACCTTCAACCCATGGACGCTGGCATCATTAGAAACTTCAAGTCAAAATACAAGAACCTGTACTGTTATTATTTGATCAAGTGGTTTGAAAAGAATAAAGAACAAAGGTAAAATTCATATAATGAACCTCTATATGGGGTATCATGCATTAAAAGGGTCTATTTTTACATTTAAATCATTTTAAGTGAATTAGATTTAAATTATGATCAACAAATAGAAGTATATATAAAATTGTATACTTCAAGTTCATTTTGTAGATCTTTTTATTATGAGTGCCGCCAAAGCAAAACCTGCAAGCAAACTTTGAGGTATCAATAAGGCGAGTTTAACCCTGGGAAAATTGTGATATTACATATTAAATCATTGCATACAATCAGTGTTCTGGTTGTTTTTATATCATATACGCTTGTCATTATTTAACCCTAAGTCTTGTTAAATAATGCAATGATTTAATGCGTAATTTTCTCAGTTAAACTTACCTTATTGATACCTCAAAATTTGCTTACAGGTTTTGCCTTGGCCACTCTTATACAATTATTACTTATGACAAGCTTTTTATTAAATAGATACCTATTCAAAAATAAAATAAAATAAATTGTTAAAATAGATCCTTTTAATATATGACACTCCATATAATGAGTTCTGGATATAACGAACTCAAAATTTAAAATTTTTTTTTAATGATTCGGTATAGAATTGTCATGACCTTAAGAAATAATAATTTTTAAAGAATGAACTTTTTTCTTTCAGAATTGTCAGTTCGTTATAGAAGGAGTTAAACACTAGTATACTAATAATTTTTATAAAATGCAGAAAACTTAGCCTAAAAAAAGCTATTGATTTTATTTCTGATGCTTGGGAAGATGTGAGCGAAACTACTATAAGAAATTGTTGAAGAACTACCAAAATTATAGCTAAAGTAAGTGAGATAGAAGGTGAGTTGGAGGAAGAACCTCAAGAAGAAACAACTGAAATAAATGATGCTGCCACGATAGTTGACGACCTTTCAGCTACTGCAACCAACCCAATGACCCAGAAACTGAAAGATAATATTGAAGAATACATTTACATGATCGACCAACCAACCACAACTGAGAACTTGTTAACTGACGAGGGTATTATTGAAATGGTGATAGATGAATTTCGTGAAGACGATGATGACAATGAAGATGACGAAGAACCACCACCATCTCCAATAACTATAATAGAGGCTATTGAAGCCTTGGAAAAGGTCATAAGATATCAGGAAAGTCTCGATGTAGGACATGGGTTTAATGAGAATGAGTTAAGAGCATTACGAAAAAAAATACAAAGAATGGCAATATGAAAAGGAAAAAAACAAAAAACAATCTTCACTCTTATCTTTTTTTAACTGTACTGATGCTGCACTCTAAGTTTAGCTTTCAATTTTTGGTTGTATTTTTGGCTTTTTGTATGCCACTTATTTGATTTTAGCTATTAAGAATTTTTCTATACCTATATGTTTAAAAAAAAAAATTTGAGTAAATATTCATAATGATTTTCTTTTTTTAAAAAAAAAATCAAGCAGTTGTTTTGTCTAATTATTTAGCATATCTTTCGAACCAGACAAATTTTTAAGGGCAATTGTTGATCGTAGCTTAATAATAAATTTTTCATTAACACCTTCCTTTATTTCTCTTATTCGTCTAGCCAGATAGCAAAGTATATGGTGCTCTTCATATTTAGTAGTTGACATCCATCCTTCATTTGACAAACTAGCCTTGGGCGATCCCTGACACGTATTCAGTAAAGTAGTATTGTATAATGATACAGTTAGAGATGCTGAACTTGTACGTAACTATGAACTGAGATATTGTGTCATATTTTATTATATTTATAATGTGTTTTTAAATTGTTTAGTGGTTCTTAACAATATGGTAAAATTAATCTAGTAAATTAACTTCACCGCTATAAGTGAATTGGCAATAAAGCCATCAATGAATTTTTAAATGAAGGATGGATGTCAACTACTAAATATGAAGAGCACCATATACTTTGCTATCTGGCTAGACGAATAAGAGAAATAAAGGAAGGTGTTAATGAAAAATTTATTATTAAGCTACGATCAACAATTGCCCTTAAAAATTTGTCTGGTTCGAAAGATATGCTAAATAATTAGACAAAACAACTGCTTGATTTTTTTTTTAAAAAAAGAAAATCATTATGAATATTTACTCAAATTTTTTTTTTTAAACATATAGGTATAGAAAAATTCTTAATAGCTAAAATCAAATAAGTGGCATACAAAAAGCCAAAAATACAACCAAAAATTGAAAGCTAAACTTAGAGTGCAGCATCAGTACAGTTAAAAAAAGATAAGAGTGAAGATTGTTTTTTGTTTTTTTCCTTTTCATATTGCCATTCTTTGTATTTTTTTTCGTAATGCTCTTAACTCATTCTCATTAAACCCATGTCCTACATCGAGACTTTCCTGATATCTTATGACCTTTTCCAAGGCTTCAATAGCCTCTATTATAGTTATTGGAGATGGTGGTGGTTCTTCGTCATCTTCATTGTCATCATCGTCTTCACGAAATTCATCTATCACCATTTCAATAATACCCTCGTCAGTTAACAAGTTCTCAGTTGTGGTTGGTTGGTCGATCATGTAAATGTATTCTTCAATATTATCTTTCAGTTTCTGGGTCATTGGGTTGGTTGCAGTAGCTGAAAGGTCGTCAACTATCGTGGCAGCATCATTTATTTCAGTTGTTTCTTCTTGAGGTTCTTCCTCCAACTCACCTTCTATCTCACTTACTTTAGCTATAATTTTGGTAGTTCTTCAACAATTTCTTATAGTAGTTTCGCTCACATCTTCCCAAGCATCAGAAATAAAATCAATAGCTTTTTTTAGGCTAAGTTTTCTGCATTTTATAAAAATTATTAGTATACTAGTGTTTAACTCCTTCTATAACGAACTGACAATTCTGAAAGAAAAAAGTTCATTCTTTAAAAATTATTATTTCTTAAGGTCATGACAATTCTATACCGAATCATTAAAAAAAAATTTTAAATTTTGAGTTCGTTATATCCAGAACTCATTATATGGAGTGTCATATATTAAAAGGATCTATTTTAACAATTTATTTTATTTTATTTTTGAATAGGTATCTATTTAATAAAAAGCTTGTCATAAGTAATAATTGTATAAGAGTGGCCAAGGCAAAACCTGTAAGCAAATTTTGAGGTATCAATAAGGTAAGTTTAACTGAGAAAATTACGCATTAAATCATTGCATTATTTAACAAGACTTAGGGTTAAATAATGACAAGCGTATATGATATAAAAACAACCAGAACACTGATTGTATGCAATGATTTAATATGTAATATCACAATTTTCCCAGGGTTAAACTCGCCTTATTGATACCTCAAAGTTTGCTTGCAGGTTTTGCTTTGGCGGCACTCATAATAAAAAGATCTACAAAATGAACTTGAAGTATACAATTTTATATATACTTCTATTTGTTGATCATAATTTAAATCTAATTCACTTAAAATGATTTAAATGTAAAAATAGACCCTTTTAATGCATGATACCCCATATAGAGGTTCATTATATGAATTTTACCTTTGTTCTTTATTCTTTTCAAACCACTTGATCAAATAATAACAGTACAGGTTCTTGTATTTTGACTTGAAGTTTCTAATGATGCCAGCGTCCATGGGTTGAAGGTGGGCGGTGGTATTTGGTGGAAGAAATTGTACAGTGACATTGGTAAGGCGAAGAGTACTTGAAATCTATCTCGATCAGCCAGAACTGGTATGATTAGGTCTTTGGGATCTTTCTTGTAGACTTCCTCATGGTCTTCCTTGTAGACTTCCTTGTGGCCTTCCTTGTGGCCTTTCCTGGGGCTGCTCTTGAAGTTCCTCAATTTCTTCTGAAGAGTCATATTCCGATATCGATTCTTCAGTTGTGTCTTGGACTTCGATCATATTACTTGTTTCTGAGGCCGTATTACTTGCTTCCGAGGACATGTGAAGCTGCATTATCAACCAAATGTAAGACCTGCCTACCTTCAATGCGGAATCTATTGTCAATAAATTTCAACCATTGTTTTCAAATATCGGTCCTTATCCATGCTTTTTTATTATTTTTATATATTACTGGTAGTTGTAATATATTTATCCCATTAAATGATCGTAGCTTTTTAGAAGTTCCAATTACTAGTGGGCATAATTTATCAGAGCCAGTTGAATTGGTGTATAGAAGTACGGTTACTTTTGTCTTGTCCTAAAAAAAAAAATTCTTTTTCATTTAATTTTTTTTAAAAACA